CACCCATGGGGCTGGGCACTGCTAGAGGGGCGCCGCTGGCAGGCGACTTTGCTGATAGCGATGAAGGAGCATTGTTTGGGGATAAGTGCAAACAGATCTTGTTTGCACTAAGTGTTAAGCGTGGGGGTGCTACGGCAATGCAGCGGCGATGTTGGATGGACACAAAAGGATGATGCCTGATTGTTGACATTCAATTTAATGTAGTCCCTATGGTTGCGAACGACATGAGTTTCAAGAGCTTGGCTAGAGATGACAAAAATAATGTTATTCCAAACATTAAAATATATAACATAATTACTTGGAGAAAGAGATAGGTTGCTTATGCGAGAGCAAAAACAGAGTTTTAGGATTGCTCGTCAGAGAGCTACACCTTTTGAGTCCGAGCATTTGATGACCCATGAGAGAATCCTTAAGCTTGAGATATAGGCTGCTTGCTTGATAACAGAACAGAGGTCAAGCTTTTTGGCGATCCGCGAGATAGCTGCTCAACTGAAGATAGGCTGCTTACTTGAGAGCAGAGCAGAGACCAAGTTTTTGGTGACCCGTGAGAGAGTTGTTCAGCTGGAGATAGGCTGCCCACTTGATAGCAGAGCAGAGGCCAAGCTTTTGGCGACCTGCGAGAGAACCGCTCATCTGGAGATAGACTGCCCGCTTAAGAGCAGAGCAGAGACCAAGCTTTTGGTGACCTGTGAGAGAGCCGCTCATCTGGAGATAGACTGCCCGCTTAAAAGCAGAGCAGAGACCAAGCTTTTGACAACCCGCGAGAGAACCGCTTAGTTGGAGATAAGCTACATGCTTAAGAGTAGAGTAGAGTAGAGCCCGGTCAAGCTTTTGGCGATCCGCGAGATGATTCACCTCGCTTGGACCTGTTGATTTCCTCAGCATTCATATATTTTTGAACATTTGTAAATAGTTTTGACATGCTCTTTAGTGGTCGATTCATTACTAAAAAGAGGAAACTCAATGAACGGAGGTCTCCCAGAAAGGCGATCATGGTGACTTTGTCATTGGGCTCCTTGATTTGGGGGACCTCCTCATTAAAACAAGTAAGGTAACTCCTTAGACTCTCTTCTCGATCTTGTTTTATACTGAGCAGATAGGTGGTAGGCTTCTGCTGACGGCGTCCACCAATGAACTGTGCCACAAATGATCTACTCAGTTCGGCGAAGGAGCCTACGAAGGCCAGGGTGAGTTTGGCGAACCATTGTCACGCTTATCCCTTTAAGATAGTTGGGAACGCTCTACACATAATTTCGTCAGGGACGTTGTGCAAGTGCATTAAGGTCTTGTAGGTTTCGAGTTGATCAAGTGGGTCCTTTGTACCGTCAAAAATTTCTATAGATGACATTTTGAACTTTTGGGGAAGAGGGTAGTTTGCCACATATAACACAAAAGGTGTGTTAGTTCGCCTTATAAGGTAATTCACGGTTTCTGGTCCTTGTGCCTTCATGGCATTGAAGACGTCGCCCAGCTGATTCTATATTTCTTTGATTTTTTTGTTCTAGTGATTTGGGGCTCATTTAAAATTGTCATGAAAATGACTCTTATGCTCCACACTTTAATTTTTGCCCTCATCCTCTTGAAAATGGGGATCTCCGGAAGAGAGAGTTTGAGGTGGAGGTGGAGGTCCCTCATGGTGGGCTCCTCCGTATGGCGTCCAAGTGGGGAACTCCTTGACGCATAGGGCGTAGAGCTCCTCTAGCTTGGGGTATTACAAGTTGTGCTCCTCTTTATTGTTCAACGAGCATCAGTTGCAAAATCTACTGGTTCTGAGTTATAAGCTGCTACATTGTTTCTAACATCTGTTGTGCATCTGGAACAGGATTGGCTGGTGGAGGAGCAACCTCTTCCTCTCGTGTTGGATTGTCTTCAACTTGATTCATGGATCTGGTGGTGATCACCATTGGTACATCAAGAAAGGTAAGTAGGTGAGAATTTTGTCTTTCCCGCAGACGACGTCAAACTGATGATGCACAAATTGGGTTTGTACACCACCTGTTAATTGAACAGTAAAAATGCAGTAATTAAGTGAGAGATAGAGACAAAAGCAAGACAAGGTTTATGGTGGTTTGGTCAACGTAACCTACATCCACTTTGAATGGCTAGAATTATCGGGTATTTTATTAACTCAAGTGTGTAGAGAGAACAGAGAGTTACAAGTTATGAGAGAGAGGGGGGAGATATGCCTGATTGAGTGTGATGCCCCTTAAGTGTTGGCAGGGCTTACAATTTATAGTCACTTCATAACAAATTGGGGCAACTTAATTGTGATTAAATAGCTAATATGACGGTCATAACGGATTATGGTGATTTAATAGTAATTAAATAGTTGATCTGGCGGAGGTGGCGACCTCTTCTCAACGGGCGAGGCAGTTACGGTGTTTTCTATGAGATTAGGTCAAAGATGAGGTGAGGGTTGACTTTTTTCAAGGCAGCGAGGATGAGGCCTTGAATGACCCTTACTCTAAGGTGGCTAAGAAGAGACTTTTGGATGACCCTTGCATGCTCCCTGCTGATGTAGCTCCTTGAGCTTGATGATCTTGACCAAGTTGACCATATTAGGTTGGACTTGACAGATCTCTTGAATTTGAACTATAAACTCGGACCGGGCTTATAATTTGAGCTAGGCCCTTGGGCTTGGCCCACTAGAGATAAAATAAGATAGAGCTAAGGGAGAGAGAAGAGAGAGATAAATGTAAATTAATGAGATTATTTGATACTAAGGAGAGGAGCGTATCAATTGAGTTATTTGATATTGAGAGCTATATAGGAAAGATGATATTTTTAAGCAAAAAAATAAATTTGAGAATAAATTTTGTACAATTAGATCAATATAAATCACTGTTATGCAATTAGATAAATAGTTAAAGGATTCACTTATAAATAGTAAACCCCTCAACCACTAGAATTCATGACGGAAAATATTACTATTAAGAAAAATTGTAAACAATTATAATAGAGATAATTTTGTGTTTCACCTTTGCTAATTGTAAGGGCACCATCACAGAGAATATTTTCTCCTGGTATGGGCTTAGTTGTAATCAAACCTTTCGGCATTACTTTTCCCAATTTTATTGCAATAAACTGATACGATTTTAAGCAAACCCCCACCTTCCTAAAGCGGTTTTAATTTGAGAAAGCAGAGAGAAAATAGGAATTCACCCTTCAAATTATTATCAGTTAACAACCAACAAGTCAGACTTTTAAGTTTGTATAGCATTGCTCAATTCAGAAAGTACAACTCAAATGCAAATCATTAATTAAATGAGTATTGGATAAGTGAGTTTCACTAAAAATAATTGATAGAACCCACTCATTTAAGAGATGATATACATTTAAATTATAACTTTTAAAATTTTATTTGAATTGTGTAACATCAATGAATAACTCAGCAAAATGTAAGTGGACATCATTCAGATATAATGGGCTTCTTGAAAGCATGTGTTGATTGCTTAAAACCCATCCTTCGATTTCATTGAGAGAAAATGGGACTCTCGTGGAATGATTTTTAGTTTACAAGAAACACGATGAAACCGAACATAACACGAAATGACTCAATCGACACACACCTATGTTAGGCTATTTCGACTGATCAACAGATACATGCAGCTGTTTAATTAGTTTGTAAGTTTAAGACTATCAGCAATCAAATGGAAGATGCAAAGGAGAAAAAGATGGTTAACAAACTATAAGATCCAAACGAGAAAAAGATTGTTAACAAATATCTGCTCCTTCCACCAACCCTCCCTCCCTCTTTCTTTGAAAATTTCCTTATCACTTGGCTCAAATGGTTTGACAGCAATATAGTGCCAATCAGCAGCTAGCAACCACTCCACCTTTTTCTTTTTGTTTTTTAGCTATCGAAAAAAAAGGTGAAAATAAAGGAGAACATCATAGACAACCCAATAGGTTTTTACTGGTGAGATCATAAAATCTTTGATTGCGCTCGTTACTCCTCTAGAAAACGAACCTAACTAAGTTAGTATAGTAGTCAACCACCGAATTTTAATGTGAATTCTAAAACTTACATCTCCAACCTCAAAGTAAGAAATTCGACCAATACTCTACTTAATCACCCCACTGGGTGTTGCAACCGCTCCGCTTTTGTGGTTGATCTGATAAAGCAATTCCTCTCCTTTTTCAGCATCATATTCTATGCAGGTGTGAGCATGCGCCAGTCACATAAAACTCCCTCGTTGTCATTATATGGGCCTCACCATGTGATATGGNAATCTATGCAGGTGTGAGCATGCCAGTCACATAAAACTCCCTCGTTGTCATTATATGGGCCTCACCATGTGATATGGTTGCGTTATAATTAGGCACGCTCGTTGAAGGGATTTTGAGCTGAATCTGATTTAAATTCATATTTATTACTCAAATATGATTAGAGATTAGTGTTCTTGGGCAATAATCTAAATCTAAATTTAATATTTATAAAATATTTAACGAATTTAAATTTAGATATACTAATAATTGCTTCGATGATGATTCAATACTTATTTTTTGGATATGTATATAAATATACGACAAAACAAGTGACTATTTGATAAAATTCGGATGTGATTGGCTAAAATTTTTCTTAAATGAGTTAATTGGATTAGAATGGATTTTCCGATTAGATTTTTCATTGATTCAAATATCTATTGTGAGAAAAAACCTTTAAGGATAATCAAACTAAATTCATATTAGAGTTTTTTTTTTTAATTGGATTCGGATTTAGATTTGTCAAAATCCTTGAGATATCTAGACAAGCTCATGTTATGATTCTACTCAGAATTAGGGGAGCGTTTANCCGATTAGATTTTTCATTGATTCAAATATCTATTGTGAGAAAAAACCTTTAAGGATAATCAAACTAAATTCATATTAGAGATTTTTTTTTTAATTGGATTCGGATTTAGATTTGTCAAAATCCATGAGATATCTAGACAAGCTCATGTTATGATTCTACTCAGAATTAGGGGAGCGTTTAACCATGCTAAATTTTATTAAAGTTGACCGAACCTTTTCTTTCTTTGTGTTATCAAACCTTATGTTCATTAATTGGAAATAGCTAGAATTACAAAAAAACACACCAGGGTAATGAACCCTTAATAATATGGTCATCATCGCAAATAACCTACTCAATAGTACCAATAAGAAAATCTCAATACAATAGAGAAAGAGAGAGAGAGAGAGAGAGAGAGAGCACTGCCTCTATCCTGGCTAGGGTATGGAACCCTTGCCAAACTTATGAGAGAACCAACTTAAACATTACTACAACCCAAGTAACTACCACTGCCATAAATGGAGAGAGAGTCCCGGCTGAAGATGATCCTGTAACAGTGGACGAAGGTGGGGTCTTCGTAGTGCCGGTTGGAGTTGCCGGAGAAGTAGTAACGCCAGAAGGTGGAGCGGTACTTCCCGACGGCGAAGTGGTGGCTCCTCCGGCGACGGTAACGGCTATTTTCATGCCATTGCCACAATGGCCCATTACACCACAGATGAAGTAATGGGTTCCGGCAGTCTTTAGAGGGATGGTGGTGGCGCCACTGCTGTCTGTACTGATCGAATTGCCCACAGTGCATGTGCCATAGTCGCTTGAACTCACTTCATCCACAGTATGGCCACTTGCATATCGGAAATCTACCAGTGATCAAAGGAAAATATTGTTATTGACAAGAATTGTATCAATTGTAATGGACTATGCAGTCTTGTGTTGTTTGGAAAGTAAATAATTTTCTTAGTCCGAAAATAGAGACATTAAATAAATTTTAAAATACGCCTAAACAGACCCATGAAATGGAATTGAAAGAGTTTGTTCTATGGACAAGCCTAGTCCATATTCTCTCAAAATCCAAGAGACTAGGAATAAAAGAGATAGCACAGGGTTTAAATGTAAGGCTCAAACATAATGTAAGCTAGACCCAATCACATCCCGAATAGTTCAGTTTTGTTGTTAGTTGCAAATAGTACGAATGTGTAACATTTTTTTTTTAAAGTAATGAAAAATTGTTCAAACCAAATTTTCTTCTAGTGGACTCATGGTAGTAAATGTAGATCTCATATGAATCAATAATATACAAATCGTATTCATCAATTAAACCCTGGTCTTATGCGACTAATGAGATTCAAACACGGGACTTATAGATTGGACTTGTAGATTTATGTCACTTACCTGGTTCAACCACTCAATCATCCAGTGTTGTGCTATTTCACATCCTTTTGAAGAACGAACCAAAATTTATGTTGTGAGAGCTGAAAACTTACCAAGGCTGTCGCCAACTGAGAAGGTCTTCCCACTGGTCCAGGTGCTGTAATCAACACCCAAAGCCCAACCGCCGGCATCGCCGACGGTGTAAACAGTGGCCAAGCTTGGTACAGCAGAACACAAGATCACGATCAAACAAACAAATCTAGCACAAGGGTTTGCCATCGTGTGTTGTATTTGTGTGAGAGTGAGAATGAGGGACTGAGAGAAAAGCTGTTTTGAGATGATGGTTATGGGGGAATCGAGTTCCTTATATAATGGAGCAAAAGGGAATGGAGTAAGTAGAAGTTTGGTTCACTTTATTCCACTACTACTGTGCTTGGTTGTAAAGGAGGCCATTTGCTTGGGATGACTTGAGTCAGACTTCATACCTAATGCCCAGGATAGTGGGTGCCCAATTTTCTTCTTTTTCTTATTTTTTTTTATCGGCTTTTCGAGGAACATGGTTGTTGAGTTTATCCCCTAACTTTGGTTATGATGTTTCCTTTTAACTACACCAACTCATATATAGACTCCAAAGATGTATTTACAATGCGTTCAAAATAAGCTACCCATATAGAATGATTACATTGTTTTTTCAAGAATTGTCAACTTTCAAGAGCTTTAGGGGATTTTTGGGCTCGAAGACAAAGAAGAGGAAGAGGAATAAGAAGAGGACATATTGGAAACGAAGACAATGAATTAACTGTGTTATGATTTGTTGTACAATCATAACTATAATTAATTTCTTCTTCTCGTTAAGGTGTTGAGAAATTATGAGCAAACACAACAATTTATTTGTTATGAATTAATTGTGTGAGTCACAGAGACAATCTCATCACTCACTTAGATAAAATTACTTACTTTTAATTTTTTAAAGAGAGACTTTGCACTGTAGGCAACCTTCTTTAGTTTGCGAAAGGGATGCTCTTTAGCTTTGATTCTGAATCAACATAATTAGATGGACATGATTACCAAAATGAAGCTGAATTGAGGACCCTCCTTAAAGCAAGTCATCGTCAGAAGTTAAAGAAAAAGGTCAGCTTTAATAACGCAAAAGATTCGTTATCTTGCAAAAATAATGGTAGGAGATCAAAAAGAAATCATTCATCGCCCAGGAAAGGCTCTTCCCCCTCTTTATTTAGTTTATTTTATTAGGGGTGAATATGATACTGAGTTTAGTACTGTATGTATAGTCATTACACAATATCAACGAGGTTATGACTAAAGCTTTTGAGGTTAGGACTCAATTTGGTTCAAATTACAACCCCAAAAATTTAAGTTATTACTAAAAAATGTTGGGATCAATTCTAACATTTTAAGATTGAATCCTAAAATAACTTTATTTTGACATAACATTAAGGGTCATCTTGAGTTGTAACTTCACCCATATTGATGATCAGTTGTGTAAATGATCTCTCTCTTCTTTTTTTTGGTGTGATTGGTAATTTGAGTTTGGTTGGAGCAGCTGGGCGGGTTTCCTTTGTCGGGCCAACTGCCCCTCTTTTGAGTGTAACTCCTATTATTCTGGTAGTAGTTTAGACCCACCCATCTAACTCAATAGATTGTCTCCTCAATTTTGTTTTCTTCCTTTGGATACACATTCTTCCCTTGGTTGACTTACTAATTCTTTGAAATTGGAAATAATATGGGATCAGAAAACTAGCCGCAATGTTCAATGAAGTTATTATCTTGTCTTTATATTGTCGAATGTGTTTAGTTTAAAGAATATGACATTCAAGCAGATGTNTAATTCTTTGAAATTGGAAATAATATGGGATCAGAAAACTAGCTGCAATGTTCAATGAAGTTATTATCATGTCTTTATATTGTCGAATGTGTTTAGTTTAAAGAATATGACATTCAAGCAGATGTTGATGATACCCAAAAAAAAAAAAACCACCAGGAGAGGAAGAGTGGGAGAGAGAGAGAGAGAGAACCTATTTTAAAAAGGTTAAATATACATAATTTTACTCCATTTATGGAGAGAACCTATTTTCATAACTCAATTTTACAATATTGTAGTCTCAATCGAATAATTTTATCATTGCGCTAAAATCTGTCATCCGTGAATTTCTCTTGCCTAAAGAATCAAAATTCAGTATGCCTGATTTCCAGGCTTTGTACCAAAAAAAAGGTACTGTAGTTTATCATGTGAATGCTTGGACTTTCGTGTTTGTTTCTTTTTCTCAACTAAGTAACTGTCCCTGATCAGAAAAANGTACCAAAAAAAAGGTACTGTAGTTTATCATGTGAATGCTCGGACTTTCGTGTTTGTTTCTTTTTCTCAACTAAGTAACTGTCCCTGATCAGAAAAAAGAAAAGAAAAGAAAACTAGGTAACTGTCTCTACAAGCAAAATTAGAAAAGAGACTTGTGATCCGGAATAGGATTGAAATCAGTACAATTTGACCAAACATTATAGAAACTGCCACAGCTTCAAACCTCACCTAAAACTTAGGTAGCATTTCAACTTCACTTAGATTTTTTCTATGTTTTCTTTTCAATTTGTCTCCATTTGTATAGAATGGCTAATATTTGCTTCCAAAGTAAGTTCTAAGAGGGGATCAGAAAGCTGCATCTTCAAAAGAATTCATCGGGTTAAAGAAGGATTCTTTATGTCCGCCAAATACGGACTTGGCTCATATAATAAAGTTGTGTCCAGATGAATCGTTACATATCAATCCTCAGAATCTTTTTAATTCAAAACAGTGATTCAATAGCAAATTGAATCAAATTTATGTATTCATCTTCCCTCCACTCTCTACATATTGTAAGATATAAGATTTAATATTTTGGTTGCTCGACTAAGGAAGGAGAAACAAACTTTAATACGGAGATAGTGAAAATAATCAAACCCAGAATGAGATTAGACTAAGAGTTGGGAGGAATAGTGAGTAACTCATATTTATTAGGCTTCAAAGTTAATGAGTCAATGGACAAAACAATGCGGAGGGTAGTGACGTGGNAAGAAGGAGAAACAAACTTTAATACAGAGATAGTAAAAATAATCAAACCCAGAATGAGATTAGACTAAGAGTTGGGAGAAATAGTGAGTAACTCATATTTACTAGGCTTCAAAGTTAATGAGTCAATGGACAAAACAATGCGGAGGGTAGTGACGTGGAGCGCGGGAAACGTAGCAAAGTGGCTCCTATATATAATCATGCATTTTCCCAAACCTAGAATTGAAAATTTCAGGGAATAAATATATTCTGTATCCTTCCTCAACTTATTCCATATCCTCTGCAACCCGATTGCCAAAAAGGNATATATATATATATGTCTCTTTATATCATGTTTTATGGGCTGAAGGATTAAGTTCTGTATCCTTCCTCAACTTATTCCATATCCTCTGCAACCCGATTGCCAAAAAGGAGCCTGAAAAGTGAAAATCTTATATGATATCATCATCTCGAGATATTTTGCAAAGCGTCTGCACCAAATTTACCGGTTTAGTATGTGTGCACGCGCGGTGAGAGAGATTCTATGTTTACAATATCATTACAAAACATATGATTTGATTTTGGTATTAAAAAATATAGTTTATAATTTTTATAGTCTAAAACATAATTTTTTTTGTGTCAAACTTGCAAAAAGAGATCAATTCTAATATTTTATGATCAACCCTAAAAAAATTACAACTTGAAAGGTCAAATTAAATTATTTTGGAGTTATTTACAATTTTTTTTGGGGGGTTGTTTTTGCAATCGATATAATACTTGTAAAAATCTTACAAAATTGTAAATCACCCCCAAAAAAATTATACTAGAATGCGACTAGCAATATAGAATAGATCCAATATTAAAATAGAGCTGGTGAATTTTGGTTTAAGCTTATCAGGTTTTGGTTGTAAATAGATTAAGATCCATTAGATCATCAACTNAAATAGAGCTGGTGAATTTTGGTTTAAGCTTATCAGGTTTTGGTTGTAAATAGATTAAGATCCATTAGATCATCAACTAAATGGATTAATATGGACCCGATTTATCAGGATACGAACCCACTAAGTATGATTTTTGCACTACACAAATCAAACCATTCACAATCATAAAATAAATTGAGTATGAGTTGATTAAACTTTGAGATGGCTTAAACACTACACCAGTCATTGGCTGATTGAGAGGAGGACAGAAAAAGTGGGGAAGCATTGCCAAGGATAGCAGCAAAGAATGGATTTGGAATGGCTCTAATTCGACCACTTATCAAAGGTCCTTCTTGAGGAGTAAATATTAGATTTACCACTTACATCGTGTTAGAATTGTCACGTGGTGTAATTGTTTAATAATTACTCAATAATTAAGCAAAATGGAATGGAACCCATTCTTTTAAATAATTATCTTTTCATGTAAAATAGTAATTGCTACATATTTAAAAAATAGGGCTTACTTACTATTTATTTATTTTATTATTGTGCAATTATATCACGTAACAATACTAACGTATATGATGTTATATCATGTAATAGTACTGCCCACGGCCGTGCATGGTATATAATTGTTGCACCAAATATTTCACTACTCCTGGAGAGGTTCACCGTTGGTCAATGGTCGCGGAGAGGGCGGCTTGGACCACTGAAAGGAAGCTAAGGCGCCAAATCCTTAGAGACGTGGGAAACTGGGCGTTATAGCTTCGATTAAGCAGACCTGCAGTGGTAGTAATTGAAAAAAGATGGACTTTACATGGGCAATAATTTTTGGTCAATTGTTTTTGATTGAAGGCAAGGTGGATAATGGAATATAATTTTACTATTCAATAAATTCAAGACACGTGTTTATACTATAAGAGAACAAATGACAAGAGTTGATAACATACGTGATAGTAGGCCCAATAAGGTACGACAGGATGGGTATGAATAACAGTGTTGCACAAGGTGGAACACATCCACGTCATATTGAAAGTGGAAAAATGACACTGCCAAGATTTGGGGGCAAACCTTAAGTGATCCGCCTCCTTCACAGTTGACGGAATTAATATCTTCAACCTCCTGAATACCGTTGTTCAATTGACCTACTTAACTAAGAACATNTTTGGGGGCAAACCTTAAGTGATCCGCCTCCTTCACAGTTGACGGAATTAATATCTTCAACCTCCTGAATACCGTTGTTCAATTGACCTACTTAACTAAGAACATGGGTCCCTATTTCGGGACAAGACAGTATGACTCTCCTAAAGAGAGAACTAAACAACGGGACAGACGAGCATGATTGTCAACGTTGGCCTAGGGGGCATGATCTCAAAGGTTTAGTTTTAATGCAAATCGTTTCACATCAAGTTTGCTCGAGCAGGCCTCTAAATGTATGACTCACTGTCTATTGGAACATGCTTGACTGAGATACGGAGGGACTTCTAAGATAACTGGGATTATTGGTTCGGATCAACATATAAGATAATAAGACATGTAGATTAGTAGCTGAAAGACTGAAACTATGTTGATTCCTTTTGTCAAGCACCAAAGGATGA